GCTTTCAATGAGCAAATTGATCCTGCAATCAGAGAATATGCAATTACTCAGCGTGAACAGTGCTATGAAATAATTACTAGTGCTTTATGTTCTCTAAAAGGTGAGGGCTCACGGAGGGAATTTGGGTCTCCTGTTAGGCCTGCTGCAGTGCAGTCTGTCCGTGATCAGGCTTCACAGAGAAAATATATATGTCAGATTGTTCAGCTTGGTGTTCAATCACCTGACAGATTATTTCATGAGTATTTGTATAGAGCTATGATTGATTTAGGTCTTGAAAATGAGCTGTTGGAGTATGGAGGTCCAGATTTGGTGCCTTTTCTGCAGACTGCTGGTCGTGAACCTGTGCAAGAGGTATTTATTTATATATTTTTGCTGTTGTCTTTCGGGCCTTATTTCAAGCAAAAAAGTTGGGTCTCCTACATATCAAAGTTTTGACTGTCATACTCATAACTTGTAGTGAACACTCTGCTTCGTTTCTTCAGAGCTTAGACAATGAATTTCTGCAATAAGTTTAGTATTTAGTATTTCCTCATTTTTCTGTTTTCTGCCATATAGGTTCAAGCTCTCTCTGCATTGACATCAGTTACCCCTTCAGTGGGTCAACCTGGGGCACCCATTAATTCTAATCAAGCCAAATATTTTGATCTTTTGGCTCGATATTATGTCTTGAAGCGGCAGCATGTACTTGCAGCTCATGTGCTATTGAGGCTGGCTGAAAAACGTTCAACCGATGGGAGCAATGATCCTACTCTTGAACAAAGGTTGACAGCTTCTTTTATTTTAACAATTTTTATCCATGAAATCTGTCTCCTCATAGATAGACTTGCTCTGGATTGTAAATTGGTAAATAAATCTCTATAAGCATATGCTGGTCTGATTTCTGTTTGGCATATTAAAAATCCAAATCAGTGTTCATTGCCCTTTAATAGCAAGAATAAAAGGAAGAGCAGCTGTCATTTGGCTTTCTGGAGTACTATGCATAGACATGAATGTGTAGGAAGCAGTTGAATGCAGACAACATGCTGGTTGTGGTTTTGGACTGTACTTTTATAATTGGGCTAAATGAATATTAAGTTGTTTCTTATTATGTGGTTTCTGTGTACTTCTACTCCATCAATGATGAAACTTAGTTAAGATTGGTTTGGTTGTAAGAGAAGAAAACAGATCCTTTCTGTTATCACAATTATTTGTCTAAGAATTGTTTTGATTTTGTCAATGCCAGGCATCAATACCTAAGTAATGCTGTTCTCCAGGCCAAGAGTGCAAGTAACAATGATGGTCTGGTAGGTTCTAGCCGGGGTGCTTTTGACAATGGATTGCTAGATTTACTTAAAGGGAAACTTGGTGTTCTCCAGTTTCAAATAAAAATAAAAGAGGAACTGGAGGCAATTGCTTCCAGGTTAGAAGCTACACCTGGTACGTCGGAATCTGTTCAAAATGGATCTGTTCCTGATAGCAGGTTTAATGGGGATGCCAATTTAGCAAATGCTGCACGAGAGAAGGCTGAGGAATTATCATTAGACCTGAAGAGCATCACTCAGTTATATAATGAATATGCTGTTCCTTTTGAACTTTGGGAGGTATAGATTCTGGTCTTTAATTCTCGTTTTGTCTGTTTTCCTACTCTTAGTAGAAATTCTGTATATAAAAGAAAGGTATCTAGAATTAATTGATTAATTTTTATATATATATATATATATATATATATATATATATCAGAAACTGTGCTTGGACTTTTTGAAAAAGGTGTAAGATATTGGACATCCTAAGTGGAGCAAATGGATAGCAAAATGAGGGTTGGGAGAGAATATATCTTATGTATAATATTCTTCACTTTTATTATTCGGTTGTTGAGACTATCTTAAACTGGATTGTGTTTCCAAATGTTTTAGCATGATTTTAGGAATCGATTTACATTATGGATTTTTAGGTTAATGAGTTCTTTTCTTGAATAAAGCGTCTGTGAACTGAGTTGAATCAACCACCCAATGTTTTAGCATTATTTCCTTCCATCTAATTATGTGATAACATATATTCCTATGTTTATTTTTATTCTTCTTGTTATTTATGAGATTCTTTGCCTTTTCATTTCTGCTTTTAGATATGTCTGGAAATGTTGTACTTTGCAAACTATTCTGGTGACGCTGATAGTAGCATTATCCTAGAAACCTGGGGTAGACTTATTGATCAAGCTCTTTTAAGGGGTGGAGTTGCTGAGGCTTGCTCTGTTCTTAAGAGGGTTGGTTCTAGAGTATATCCTGGAGATGGAGCTGTTTTACGTCTGGACACTTTATGCCTTCAACTAGAGAAGGCTGCCTTGGTATATCTTTATCTTTAGCTAGTTTCAATTTAAATAGTTACGTATACTTGTTAGATTCTCTTGTTCAATATATATATATATATATATATATAATATTTGATTCTCCTTAAAGTAGCTTACTTGAATGCCATTTTGGTTCTTGTTTTAATGATTTCTTCTTTTCCCTCCTGCATTGTCTTCCCATTTGGTAGGAGAGGGTGGACTCTAGGCTTGAATCTGTTGGGGATGAAGATGTGGCAAGGGCTCTTCTTGCTGCTTGCAAGGGTGCAGCTGAGCCTGTATTGAACACTTATGATCAGTTATTATCAAATGGAGCTATTTTGCCATCACCAACCCTCAGATTACGCCTTCTTCTATCAGTGCTAGTGATACTTCGTGAGTGGACAATGTCTGTATTTGCACGGAGAATGGGCATGGGTGCTACTGGTGCTTCTTTAATATTAGGTGGAGCATTCTCATCCGAGCAGACAACAGTTTTAAATCAAGGGATTCGAGACAAGATCACAAGTGCAGCAAACAGGTGAGTTTCTTCATGTTCTGCGTATTGAACATGAACCATGAAGCATTAAATGTATTCTTGTTTCTGTTGGATTGTCTCAACTTATTTTTGATTAAATAGTTAAGCTCGCTTCTTAAATGGTTTCACCAATTCTACCCAAATTGGTGGTCTAGGTTTGATGCCTTAATGTGTAATACATTTGGTTCCCAATATTCTACTATAACTCTCTACCCTGGACATTCATTTCCTTCCTCATCAGAGTACTAGAGAATAGTCTGTCATACCTTCTCCTTTTCTCAATTTTTATGGCACACGATTCATCCCCAAATGTTCTGGTCAGCAGCTTTAGGCATTAATAATTTTCTACTATTGCATTTAATAAAACTATAACCATAATGATTTAAATTTAAATCAAACTAGAAGAAACAGGCTTGGGATAAAGACATATATGACCCTTAAATACTTGTGTGTGACCGGTTGTTTTCATTATTATGTTTACATAAATGGTTATTACTATAGTTGTTGACATCAGAATTTGTTTGTGTTGGATGTTGCTCTATATTATTTTGAGAGAATCCTATTACCTAGCTTTCATCAAAACTGTTAAAAGTCTTTTCTTCTTATTCAGTATGCTACTGGCACTGTTGACCATGAGACACAGTAGCAAAAGAAAGAAAATAGAAAATGCTTGGTAGGGAAATGATTCAAATCTCTGTAACCGGTCTTTTTGTTATAATATGGATGTCTGTACCACGTTTTCATTTTTCTAATGTTGAAGCTTTTGGTATTGTTGTGTTGTCGGCTACAAAGGATTTAGCATCTTCAGTTTGAGAATTTAAGTATTATTTTGGGGGTTGCAGGTACATGACTGAGGTGCGGAGGTTGGCCCTTCCACAAAGTCGAACTGAGGCTGTGTATAGAGGATTTCGAGAACTTGAAGAGTCTTTAGTAAGTCCGTTTTCTTTTGATCGATTTTGATAATTTGTTAAAAATATATGTTGTATGAATAAACCTATAAACATAATTTATTTCGATTCAAATTTGCTAATGAAGATGAAAAGTGAATTCAGTGTTTGTATTTATTGTTTTTTTAACTCTCATCTGTGACATGTAAGAGTACTAGAGTAGAATACAAACGTCTCAATTTTTTGCAACGGATGAGACAAAAAAAAAGCAAAAATACAGTTAAGAGTTTGGGTTTCGCAAGCCTCGTCCAACCTGAATTTGGATTGGGTCAAGACCTGTATGATACAAAAATGACACAAATAGTCTTGTGGTGCGCAAAAACAAAATGCTGGTTGAGCTTTCTGTCAATGACACCAAATGGTGGCCAACGCTAAAATCAGGCAGAGCGAGCAGGAGTTGAAGCTCATCTTGCTAGACCAATGGCAATGATCGCTATAAATCTTTTTTTTTTTTTCTGGGTACGTAGTAATTAATTTCATAATTTTCGAAAGATGAACCTTCAGCACCCGTAACTGCTGTAAGTTTTGTGCACTTTTTATACCAGCAACGAATCAGGCTTCATGGAGCAAATATATATGCCAGATTGTTCAATCACTTGACAAATTATTTCATGAGTAGTGCTATGATTGATTTAAGTCTTGAAAATGACCTGTTGGAGTATGGAGGTTCAGATTTGGTGCCTTTTCTGCAGACTCCTGGTTGTGAATATTTATTTATTTATTGCTGTGGTCATTCAGGTCTAATTTCAAGCAATAAAGTTTGAGTCTCCTGTAATTTTCAAAGTTTTGACTGTTTTGTTTCTTCAGACCTTGGATAATGCTTGCTTGTGGTCCTGTGCATAGAGTGAAAATTGGAACAGAGCATCTATGCCTCAAAACAAGCAAGAAAAACATTGATTTCATGATCAATTTGTTACCCCAAACTCCATCCTCTTAACTCGTCTTATCTACATGCTTATTTACTATTCAATCAGATTCTTGTTCACCCTTCTGCACCTTCAGCTCAAATTAAAGGAGTATCTTCTTCTATAAATTCAATCATTTTCTTTCTTATTTTCATCCAATCCTTCCGAGTTATCCTCTGTTTTCTTTCTTTAATCTTCTTGTGGCCAATCACCAAGCAAATGAGCATCCTAATGCAGCTGCATTAGGATGCTCATTTGCTTGGTGATTGGCCACAGAATTAACGTCTGGAAATCCATCCGCTACTGGCATTTCGGTTGGATCACATTCCTATATACTCTTCTTTGAATTATTTCTTCTATATTAATTTTCTTTTCATCCAATCCAGTCCTTTTCGGATGACAACTATTCGTTTGCTGTTTACATAAGACACCAGCCGGTTTTGCCTGTGCCAACGAAATTCCATATTATTGATGAGTTGTCATACGAGTTACAAGGAGGTAGGCAACTTCAACTTGGAGAATAAAAACCTTGGACGTTATTACAAATACCATCCATGGGAGCGAGTGGCACAAGTAACCGCCCTGCCCTCTGGCGGTAACACTGCTGCAAGACAGGGTGAACAACAAGGACTTTACACTTAAGAATGCAGCAGCAGCCTATCAACGCTGTACTATTAAATAAGCCAAATAAGCGAGTTTGAATCTCTGATCCTTGGCTTTGGCCTCTAAACCAAAAAGTTAATTGCCAGCTTTTTCTTTTCCCAATGCTATTTTTCGGATCTTGACAAACCAATACCATCCATGGACATGCAAAGCAATTCTCATGTGCAGTGCGGAAATAAGGAAATACAACTGTCAAAAATTCGTTTTCAATATTTCATAGCAAAACAAAAGAAGGTAACTGTGTATGATTGGAAGGTGACATCGGTGCAGAAACAAATATGCAATAAGCCACTTATTTTTCATTCTATCAACAATGAAGTACAACTGACAGCATTTGAAGCATGAAAATCATGAAGAGTGCGTGGAAGAACTCACAATCAAGTCAACCCCAAAAAGCCAGTTAAACAAAATATGAAGGCCAGCTAAGAATATTAAGGCGTGTTGCTCTTCATGACTTGGTTTCTTTCATTCCTGTTCGTTTCCCTTCAAAATATTGTACTTACAGAGAGGACATGTTGCATTCATCTTAAGCCATTTCACAATGCATGTTGAATGAAAGTGATGGTTGCAAGGGAGAACATGGAGGTCCGCACCATCTTCATAGGAGCTTAGACATATACAGCATTCCTACCAAAAAATAAAAAAAGAAGTAGAATAATAGCAAAGCAATCATCCAAAGGAGTAGCATTGAGCAATACTATGCCCCCACCTGCTTTTAAATATTTTATACCTCAACAACTTCAAACAAAGAGTGCTTTATCTTCTCTAACAAGAATAAGAAAAACCTTGAAAAATAATTTATTTTTTAACTAACAGAAAGAGCTTTCTAGTAGTCACCACAAATAAGGAATGCATCTTTAACTGCCCCTTTTATTAAGCTTTCGTAAACAACATAGAGATGTTATTTATGCAAAACATATTAAATATATTAAAATTTGGAAAATTTAGCAAAAATAAAATATAGACATATTTTTTGGAACATAAGAATGGGTAAAGAAAATTTGAAACATTGCAAAGATTGATTGCACTTTATGATGAAACTTCAAAAGCTCAATTGATCAATTTCCTATATGTGCATACATATGCTAGGAACATATGAAACAATTAGAAAACAAAGCATTGAATCTAATGTCCACACAACCACCAGCCCCCACCAAATAAATAAAGTGTGCAAAACAGGCTGGAATAGGGTAACAATAATGTGATGGATCAAAATCATTGTGAAAAAAATTAGTAACCCTATGATAAAGTTGTAACTTACTGCATCCTCAGGAAAGAGTATGCGCTCATTTGCCAAGTATCTGCTACTCGTTTCTATGGGGACCATTTTTCCTGCCCCCACATGAGGCTTCTCACCATTGTTTATAATCTGAAACCTATATTTTGGAAGGATACTAAGATCTGCTTCTGATGCACCCTCCTAATCAATAGCACAAGAAATGAAAATGCTATTAAGCTATTACCAATTTGTTCAAGATTTTTCAGTCAGTATTACCAACAAATGTTTTCCCATACCTGCCCTGCAACAGCATAAAGAATTGCAATGATGCAAGGCAAGCAGCAGCAGAGTGCAATCCCAATCAAACATGCCAAAACAACACAAAAGATTGCAAAGAACACATCAAATGCCAGAAAAACCACAGCCAACCTGCAGATATCATGAATTAGAGATCCTGAAGTCTTTCTCAGCATACATCATAGTATAATACATGCCATAAACAACAGAAGACAAGAGAAGTCTAGACATACTTTTTGGGAAACTATATTTGAAAATCTGAAATTGTTAACAGGTAAAACCTTTCTGCTTCTTTTTTTTTTTTTTGGCCTAAATAAGACATCAACTTTATTTATGGCACAGGGAAAGATATTCTAAAGGTGACAGTAAGATTGTGATAGCATTTCAAGGAGACAATATCATAGATTAATTATATAAGAATGAGATGATAACTGCTATGCAATTTTTCAAAAACTTGGCAACTTAAGGTAATAACTCTTGTAAACATTTGTTGTCTCCATTGGGGTGGAAACTAGAATATGTTATTAACAAATATGCCACCTAAATTGACAAATAAGTTGCTTGTCAAATAACAGGTTGGTTAACAGCATACCAGTATAAACGTGGAGCACTTTGCAGAAGGATATCACCACCAGAAACTACCCAATAGAAGCCTACTATCCACCAAAGAAATGATGCCATGGTATTAATCGATTCACATCGTTTAGTTACACTGCCCGTTCATCATCAAATCAGTACGACAATAAAAATATAATCTTCCAAAGTCACAGTTTCTAAAACAGAAAATAAAAGCAAATCGAGATCGATAATACAAGAAAAAGATCCACTTAGATGATATCACAGCTAGGTAAATTGGATTAAGCAATCAAAATAATATCTATACTAATATATAATGCCAGTAGATAAGTTGGTGTGAGAAGTTAAGAGACATCAATTCAGTTCGTAAAATGACCAAAAGAAGAGGGGAGATAATAAAAATACAAATAAAAGTACGATTATTTTAGTAATTTACAATCATACAAATTAGGGCTTCGCTCTCTAATTTTTTTAAACTTAGTTATTTATTCAAGTTAAATTTCTTTTTACTTATTTTTTTCTCTCTCTTGAATAAATGTATTTTTGGTTATTTCTACTTCATTTTTTTTTCTTTTGTTTGTCTTCAAAATAACATGGTAGGTAAGACTTTAACTTTTTTATTCTCTATTAAAATTTATCAAAAGATAAAATAATTTATTTTTTCACCAAGATGTGCATAGGACTAGTATAGCCAACAAAAACCATTATACACCAAAGAAAAATCTCCAGTATTATACACTGTTCTAAAATGCCAGAAAGGTGATGAAACTCAAACCTTTGCAACAATACCATCTTCGAGGCTCCATCTGGTTATCTTCCATCCATATAGCATAAAGAGTAAGAGATACACATGCTATGCTTGTGAAATTTGATAAGTGTATATCCAAGCTACCCCTGTTGGATTATGTGTAATTCCTTAAACCACTGTATCTCCAGCACAAAACCAGTTCAACCACTCTATATCCATGCTTAATTTTCAAAATTTAATGTAGGTATGTTCAAATGGAAATTCTCTATAATTTAACCAACTAGACTCCAAGCATGCTGATTGTCATTGTTAAGAAAATAACAATTAGGAGCCTCCTAAATGCAGTTTTGTTGGATACAAAGACAGACATAGACATTCAGTTTCTCTTTTCTCAGAGAAGAATAACTTTCTACCACAAATTTGAAGGGGAGTCATACATCTTAGGTCATTGACTTCCATCAATGTTTCAAATGCCTGATAAACCGTTCTCAAACATCCAATCATTAATCTAGATGAACATCCCAAATTGATTTCTCAAGCTTCTCCATCTTGCATAAAGGACAAAAAGTTTCATAATTATATTTAAGTTCTTCTATCAGCATCCAAAGCTCAATGCTAATCCTTTCAATAGATGACACTTAAGTTTCCAATGCTATGGGTCTAATTCTTGTAATCGAATCAAGGAAGTATTCAGAATACCCAATGTAGCCTAATATGCCCGGTCCATACATATTTCCGAAATTTCAACATACCACTGACCTTGAAAGCAAAGATTAAAAGGATAGTGATAATTCAACCAATTACATTCCCTCAAACCATCAAAACTTGCCATAACTGCATATATGATAACTCCAAAACAAAACCTACCAATTCCTTGTGAACAACCAGATGCTCAATGCTTAGAAACCCAGACGCCAAGATAATATTCAAACCCTTATCTAATTCATCTCAAAAGCCAATAAAATCCCAAATTGAAGTAAAATCTTCAGCCAGTTTAGCACAAAAACAAGCATTATTTTCATCAAAATTCTAACTTAACAAACATAAAACTTCATGCTCCAATACAAATTAGATCCAAAAGAAGAAAGAAAGCCCGAATCCGTATCCAAAATTTCAACTAAAAAAATAATAAACCACTAAAAAATTATCAAATTAAACACACAAAAACCCCCCAAATCAAAATTTTAAGTTGAAACACAAAACCCACATCAAATTTTAAGTCAAACCATACTAAAAAACTGACCTTGATTGATTTGAACCAAAAGTACCCCTTTCAGTTCCATCTTCTTCATCTTCACTATCATTAACATCTCCAGCAGCAGCATCTCCTCTCTCCTCATCCCTAACAGGTGTTCTTCTATTGGTCCTTCTCCTATACTCCAACCACACCAAAACAACATGCACCAAGCACTGCAAAGCATACCCACAGATCCACAGTCTAATAGGAGTATTGGGACTCTCATCCACCGTACAGATCAACATCACCACCGAAACCGCCACGAACGCTGTGTTCCACAGCATGTCAAGTGCCACCACCGGCTTGGAGTAACCCCAGTCCGCTCGCCGCTCCTCTAACTCACGTGCCGCCGTCTCCCTCACCATCATGGACGCGCCACGCCGCCCCATGGTCCGCCCCAATAAAAGCGCCAGTGTGGCAGGGCGAGCCGCCGAGGCATCAGGCTGGCGCGAGCGGAGGAGCGGCGCGTGGGGATCGGACGCCGTCGAAGTTGTTTCGGATGAAGATGTGGACGACATATAGGAATTTTTTGGGGGGTTTTAAATTTCTGGAGGGTTTAGAAAGAGAAAATGGACATAACTGAACTATTTTTAGCCAAAGAAAAAAAGCAAAACCCTTTTTTGTTTGAAAAAAGAAAGAAGGGAGAAGAAAGGAAGGTGAGAGAAAGGGATTTTGAAGGGAGAGTTAAGGAAAATTACAGAAGGGAAAGTGAAAGAAGGGAATGTTTGGATGAAGAGTTTGGGTTTGGAGCTGACTGTTAGATGGCAAGAGGATTTTGTTTTGTTGGTTGAAACTTGAAAAACATTGCTGTCTGCTACCGCTTTGCTGTTTTTGTTTTCCGTTTGGTTATTTTTACCTTTCGCTCCTACCATATTTCTAATTTTACCGGGTCGGCACCGCCATGCAAATCCGTCTGCTACGTTTTGTTTGGATTTTAACTTTTTCTTTTTGTATTTAGAAAATAAAAGACTAATGTCAAATTATTAAACAAATCGATTAACATTAATAAGGGATAATGTCACCGTGCTAGTTGAATTACAATAAAATATTTAAATTTAAAAAATTATTTGATATATTATTAATGAAATTTTTTAAATTTATAAGTTAATTAAAGTAATGATACATATTTTTTTAATGAATATTTTTTTGAATATATACAAAATGAGTATTTAGTGGATTAAAAAAACTCCACTAATCAATATATTTAATATATTTTTTTAAATTTAATATTTTATAATATGATATTTAAATTATAAATTTATTTATAATATAATATTTAAAAATATTTAAAATATTTATTTATGATATATTATCATTTAAAATTAATTATATTAAAAATAAATATTTTATTAATAAATAAATTTAATATTAAAAATAAATATTAAATTAATTAATATATTTATAATTTAAATATATATTAAATATTTTTAAAATTTAGAGTTTAATTTAATATTTTATTATAATTTATAATAATAATAATAATAAGGTATGGAGACATCAGAGCATGTCATTTACTGGACATAACATGTCTTACGTTGACTTGTATTCACGTCCAGACACGCATGTTCACTTGCTTCCTTGCCTTTCGTGGTGGTTGAATTAGAGCCATGCGCACATAATAATGATTTAGATAAAATTTTTTATGTCAAATTTCTAAAGTTCTTCATTAAAAATATTCAAATAAAATAATTTAAAATCTAATAGAGAAAGATGCAATTACAAAGTATTTTTCCATAAAAACTTATAATATACTACTATTTAATGGTGAGAACTTTTATATAAATTTTAATAAAACATCTATATAAATAAAACATAGAAAGTTATTAAAATTTTATGTATAACAATTATCAAAGATCAAAACAACTCAAAACATATAAAATACTTAAGTTTTAATTGATTTTTGAATTGAGTTCAAATGTTAAATTGAAACTTTAAATTTAAATTAATTTTTAAAAAAATGCCACATTAAAAATTAATATATATATATATATGATTTTATTTCTCTCACGAATTAAAACCTCAAAATAATTACTAAAAAAAATTGGAAAATAAGATTTCGGTGACTCTTTGTGACCAAACATGTCTGTAACAAATAAATTTTGAAAAAAATAATATTTTTAGATTAGAAATGACAACAGATCAAGTCCCACGAATTTTTATTTGTCCTAATTTTGATCCAACTTCATAAAATGTAAACCCAACACCAAAAATATTATTTTTATATCTTCTATGTAAAATTAATTTAATATTATTAATTTAATATAATATTAATAAAATATTATTTTTATATAAATTATGTCTTAATTATACATAAATAAAATTTTTTATTAAATTAATATCTTAAATTAAGTATTAAATAATAATTTTATTAATATAAATTCATATAAATAAATATAAAATTAAATAAACAACAAAAATATATTATATATACCTAATCAAATTAAAAATTGCTTAAAACTTAATTCACTCGACCTAAAATTTAATTTTAAAAAAAAAACCTCATATCAAAACCGACGAATATAAGTAAATTTATCAGCTTCAATTCAAATTTTAAATCTAGATATAACCGCTCTAATAACATATGTAAGTTCATTTTCAATTATTAGATCACGCATGCGGAATATAAAACACCAAATTGACAACAATAATATAACATACCTGTTAAGGCTGTTAAGATTTACAACCTAAGGCTAAGATAAATTTATAAATTAAAATTAAATTAAATCTTCCTTTTCACTCTCCTCCTTTGAATGACTCTCAGTGGTTAGAATCCTTATGTTAAAAATGAAGAACCTTAACCATATTTATATAAAACCCTAATAACGCCTCGTCAAGGCTTTTATCGGGTTAAGACTTACAGATACTATCTAACCACATTGGTCCAAATAATATGCGCAAAACTCATAATAAACCAATCACTTTAATTTAATTGTGCGGACCCGGAGGTTTCTCTTAAAACTAAATCTATCAACTTGTTTTATAAGCCAAAATTTCAATTAATGATAGGCCACAATTCCGGAAATTCTAACATTTCACATGTAAGTGAAAAAAGGAATCATAACTCGGGAGTTGAGTTTCAGTTCCAAAGCAAGGACTCATCAAAACTGTAATGAGCCCTGATCCTGAAACTGAGCACTTCTTAACCTTTTTCCTCTACTAACAGAATCCATCCTCAATTAACTTCCCCTCCAAATTCTCCCATCCGTTTCACATGCTTAAAGGATCATTAGCATCAGCACTGTACATAACAAAGTGTTGCAGACGTCTAAGCCACACATTTCTAACCTTTGATATGCAACGAGAGAAATTCTGAAGAGGTTGATTATATGCTGCTTAAATGATTCCTGATAGCCGGCGTACAAAATCAGCATGTAGTGAATGGCCACCCTGTATCATGTTCAAAGTTGAAAAGTCAATTGAATGGTTTAAAGCTGCTGTGAAAAGGAAAATTTACTGATAATATCAAAACCATTGCACCCGAGGTACAACATATTATACCAACCACCAGCGAAATAATAAGGCTAACCCACACAAGAGTAAACTCAGAAGGATGACAAACAATAAATTCAAAATAGAAATGTTTTTACCAATACCACGTATAGATGAAGATTTCACTGACTACCGAATATTTTGACTAAAATTTACTTTTTGTTACGAACTAACAAGGATATGAATAAAAGATATAGGCGTAAGATCTTAAAAATTTAATATCAAGTGACCAAGCAAATAAGCAGCATAAAATGTGCATTTCCCTGAACCTATCTCTAGATAAGTCTATGGTTAGTCCAGGCCGAGGTATTCAAGCTACATGTTCCCAGGTATCACAACAGAATGCCAACATTAATCCGTGAGTATAATCCACTTCAACATATTGGCAGTCTACAGCTAATTAGAAGAAATGCCAGTGAATGTTTACAAGCATTGACTTCCAGTTCAGAAAGTTCAGTGCACATATTCAAGCACATACATCCTTACACATTCTATGAAACAAACAACAATAATTTTGATGCACTAGATTCTAATATCTGAACTATGGCATAAAACTAAATGTCTGGAGATTGCAGATTCGCCTTGCACATGGCAAATGATCTTTAACCACTTTTTACTTGGAAGAATCTCTTATCAATAATAAAAAGATCATAAATGCCAAAACAAGAGGAGAAAAACGGGCAAGCACAAACACTTACCTTGAAAGACACTACATGTGCCACAGGAAATCCTTGACTACCAGACCGTGCAAAGAGGGAAAGATCACCTATAAGATCTAAGACCTTGTGGCGACAAGGTTCATCATGGAAATGAAGCGGTGGGTTCAACCATCCTTTACTGGCACTGCAGAATTAAAAGTGTACTAAGTATTCTGTTCAACAGAATTAAGATCAACTAATTATTGGTTTCTAACATTCGACCGCATGCAAGTCATGTCAAGAAGACAAGAAAATTATTGACGTTTTAACAATTTGTCAGGATCTTCCTCTGTTCAAATGTGAGCCTGATAAGATATCTGAGACAGCTCAATGTTTTTCAAGCAACCATTCATTAGTCAAGTGTAAAAAAGAATAAGGTTTGCTTCTGTATAGCTCAATGATCCACATATGGAAAACAAAAACCAAATTAAATCCATGTTGCTTACCATACATCAGATTGTATTCAACCAAGAACTAGCAGCATGCTGTGTTCCATCCTATTTATTTGTATGGTAATGACATAATTACTTGGCCACTCACAAAATCCACTTGCTTAACTTCATCATGTTTCACAATTAAAAGGTGTAACTATTAAAAATACAAAGCTAAATATAAAAATTTCACAAGTTGCAGCATTGTTGTTTTTATACAGATTCTATGAGGTTCAGCATAAAAATTACAACCTAACCTGTATTTCTCATAGATTGTTCAGGAAGCAAACAGGTTTGTTGTATTGTCTAGTGAGCAACTTTCTGTGGGGTTATCTTTGTGTAAATGACATTACATACAGGGATAAGGTGATCAGCCAACCTGATCTAAATTTAGCATTGCATCTCACCTACATACAATGGCATTGTCTAGTGAGCCCCCTTTAATGAGTCCTGCATTGCGCATACGTTCCACCTGAAAGGATTTTACATAGATTTAGCCTTAGCAACATATAAACAATAATAAGCTATTTAAATTATGTTTTACAAGACATGCTAGGGAAAGAAATGAGCTAGCTGACAACAAACTGCCTGACACGGTAAAGAAAACCATAATCCAGTAGAAATTTTCTTTCAGTTCAGTCAAAGCAGCAGCACAACATCAATGTGACACCCCCTCTGTGCCAAAATAAAAAATTGGCCCTCTTTGCACGCCATTAGTTGTTCAAAAGTTGATGTCATTTCTTCTATTTCTTGAAGTCAAAACCCATTATTAGTTTTCCAACATTACTCCTAAACCAGTATACAACAACTTCTTTCTTCAAATTTCTGCAACTTCAATGCTTTTACTCTCAAGGACAGTTTTGAATGAAAATCCCAATTCGAGAAGCTAATGCTGCTACTCCAGATCCATTTTACAAGAGAGCGGCAAGTTACTAATTTGTTCTCCTTTCCTTATTTTCATCCCAAGAAAAACAGTAACCCATAAGGAGTTGACAATTGGGTATTAAACCGGACAGCAATATGGTATGGATGGATTACTCCAAGGTTGGCCAAGCTCAGCACAGCGCAATCCTAGTTCATTAATTTAAAAAAGTTTCCAAATGGAATGCCCTGGAAATCATATTAATCATGACATATAAAAAGTCTATGTTTCTCATGGCATACAGAAAAGTAGCATGCTGACATACAAAAATGCTTGGGAAACAAGCATCAAGTGCAGCAATATAACATCATTATGTGATTGGTTTTATCTTATCCAATGGGGCACATAGTTGTTCATAAGCAAGAGGGAATAAGTTCTGAACATGTTGCCACATTACCTTCCAGATGAGTTGCATAAAATGAGATGAAGGTGTCACCCACTCTTTATGGAAAATTCAAAAGGCTACTTCATACAGATAAAAGTCCAATAGAAGTTTACAAGTTGCACTCACTTTTCTATCAAATTACTAGGCAACTACAGAAAAGCTTGTCGATTCCTAGCCTTAGATGTGTGAAGGGAAATTTTTGATTGATAAAAGGAAACTTCATTAAGTGGCTTAAAATCACTCTTAATATAAATCAACTGATGTGCATGAAATAGAACCTTTCAAAATTAATGTAAGAAAAGACTTAATTTGTTTTTTCCATTGTAATAGCAATGTTGCTAAACATTTGAGGCACATTAGATTATATAACTAAACAATAAACAGAAGATTGGAAGAAGTTTGAATTAACCTCCTCATAAATGCAGAAAGTTCTTGAACAAGCTATTTGCTTTTCATAGAAGTCATCTAAAGCAGCTGAAGAAAACCATTGGCATCCAATTGCAGGCACCTGCAACCATAGAAAGTTAAAAAGGTATTTGAGCATAAGACAATACTAAATGATATGTAAATTTTATTTTTCCACATGGAACAAAAACAGTCCAGATAAATTATGTATAAGAATCAACACCTAACAATAGAGCTGAAACAGAGGTGTAAACACAAACAAAGGATCAAGTTAAAAAATTCACTCAAGCAAACCTGTCAATCCAAACTACTACAGTGGATCTAGGGATACAAGCTCCATTAAACCTTATTTGTGTCTATTTATTAAGCTTAATGGATATTTTTTAACAGGATTTTTAGGATCATGCATTCTAAGCTCATTAAAACAAGCCAAGTTTGTGCAAAGGTAGGTGTGACTTTCTTAGGCTGGTGATCAAACTCCATGTGCCAGAAGGGTGATGAATATTATTCTTTTTCACCATCTGGTTGGTATGTAGTCCCTCGTTAGGGCCAGGATATAAATGCTTGAAAGCAATATTATTTTGCTTTCTTAGAGTAGCAAGTAATTTATAAAGCTCAGTTATTTAAATCATCTTCACAATCGTACTTAATTCATTTTAACATATTTATGATGTAGATGCTTCTTGAACTTGAAAAATTCCACAATGATAGAAATTTAATACAATCCAATACACCAACAGACACCACTTACTTCAATACACTTGAAAAATTCCATAATGATAGAAATTTAATTCAATCCAATGAACCAACAGACACCACTTATTTCAATACACACGAGCAAGCATAAAAGCAGTGATGCACATATCTTAGACAAGTAAACTCAGAAAATAATGCGAAATTAATTTTTTTTTTCTGAAACAGAGTAAAAAAGATAAAAAAAGGAAAATTCCCATTTTGAAGACAATGTTGTTAACAATCAACATAGAGAACACCAGAGCTTACCTTTGGAAAGTCAATTCCACAAGTTATGCGAACCATTCGAGAAGGGAATGCAACCAAAAAAGAATCATCCCTCGAAACATGCAGTGGTTCATTCAAATATGGTGCCAGTTTCTCAGCATTGTTCCCACACCGATCCAAGGCCTCTTTTCTGCCAACTTGTTCTATTGCCTCTACCCATGCACTTGCTGACCCATCAAAAATAGGAACCTGTGTTAGTTAACATTCCCATGTCATCACCTTCCATAAAATTGTATTAAAAAGGATTCATTAATAACATTATAATGTTTATGAATTATATGTTTTCATTAAACAGTTTTGAGTTCTCTATACAAATTCATTCAACATGTTTAAATCTCAAAAGTCATCCCTTAGGCTGGAATGCATATCCGTAGAAAAGACTTAGTTCCTAAAATATGGTCTTCATAAGTTTTGTTTGGTTGTTGCTTCGTTCTTTTTGCCAGCTCGAAAGTTGTTATAAAGTAAAAGAACAATTGACTGAAATGCAATACCAATTTGATTATCTTTGTTCAATATATAAGTAAAATCATGCTTTTTTATTATCCAAACTAAATTGCTAAGTTTTAATATAGGCGAAGTTACTTTCTTTACATACACAAAAAAGGGAAGAATGTGATAAAAGAAACAACCAAATGAATCATGAAAGTTTCAAATTTAGGCAAATTACATCAATTTTGATAATCAAAGCACCAACCTCAACCTCAGGATCCTTGGAATCGAAACTTTGAATCTCAATTCTACAATTATCGACGCCTTTAGCTTCCAAAGCCGAAAGCAAATGCTCAACGGTCCGAATCTTGTATCCGTCTTTGCAAAGCGTGGTACACAGCAGCGATTCTTGAACAAAATCGATGGATGCAGGAATTAATTTCGATTGAAACTCAAAGTACCTTCCTTCCCCCGCGAATCCCGGCCATATCTTTACCGTCGAAACCTTCCCAGAGTGAAGTGCTTTTCCCGTCAGCTCTATGCATCCCTCTAGAGTTTGTTGAAGCTTACCTGTCTGTGATCACAGTAGAAGTTACGAAATTGGAAATTAGATGAGGGATGTTGAGAGAGAGAGAGAGAGAGAGAGAGTACCGCTTTCCATGAGATGAGATTAGAGGACTTGAGGGAGTTAAAGGCGGCGGAGAGGCACATTTTCCGCGGCGGAATGGTGCGAGGTTACACTTAAATTTACAAACAACCGACAAAAGAGATCGTTTTTGGGTTTTACTTTTCCTCGCAGTTGGAGGGATTTAGATGTCCTGAAAATATTAAAAAAAAAAACAATTTTCATAACCTCTTTTTCTTAAACAAAAAAATCAAACTATTGTTATCCAAGTTTCCCACTCGTTAAATTTTAAATTATTTATATTTACTAAATATGTAATAGGATTAATATTTAATTCCATAAAAAAATATATAATTAATTTAAATAATAAGAGAGAAATATGACAAAAAGCCGATGAACCTACGCCTAGTGTCCACCGGTTTTTCGAGTCAGGGCTTAGGTAAGGAAGCCTAGCAGCTCAATTGAATTAGGCGCAAGAAGCTTCAGTTACGCCGCTTGACCTTATCATCGCAGGGGCTCAGCGCTTAGTTGAAAGACACTGTGCCTCAAAAGAGATCTGAGCCCAGCCCTAGAAGGAGGATTGCTTCTCTCATCAGCAGACGAATCCTTGGAAAAAGAGGATGAATCGAAATATAGCTGCTACACCAAAACTAGGCGCAAAAAACCAACCAGACTGACCTAGTGGATAAATCAAGAATACAGAAACAAAAACAGCAATTGGACCAGAGAATGCGATTGCATTATAAGGTCGCAATTGAACAGATCGCGCAAGTTCAAATTGACGTAACATAAAACCTATTAGTCCGAAAGCGCCGTGGAGAGCAACAAATGTCCACAAACAGCGACGTAGCCTATGCTTCACCTAAGCAATACCCTTTGTTCTAATTTCTTCTAATTATATATATATATATATATATATATATAAAAGAATGGGAATTGATAAAATATTTAACTGAATAAATTAAAGTTTTATATTTATTCATTTTAATTTTAAATTATCATTTTATATACTTTTATTAAAAATATGAATAAAATTTATTCAATTGATAAATGAAAATTGTAATTCCATTTAATTATTTCCAATAAAAATATTTTATTGTTTTAAATATTAATAAGATTTATTCCATTTACAAACAAGAATTACAATTACTATATAAAAGTAGAAAACAAAGAATTTAATATCAAGCATATCAACCAAATGGGAGACATACTTTTATTAAACTCAAACAAACAATATAAATCCACAAATAATCGTTACATTATTTGATTATTATTGGTGACGGTTTTTAAACTTTATTAAACAGAGTTAAAATATTTTAAAATATTGTCTCCATGTTAATTTATGTGATAATCCTTTAGATCCGTTGATAAAAAAGTCATTTCATTTCTTCGGCCTCCTCTTCAAACGCTGTACCGGAAAACTCTTTGACAATCCCATGGGAGTCGTAGAAGTGATTTTGGTAGGATTAGTATGATCCACAGAAATATCAGAATTTTGACACCTGTCAACTTTCGCATCCGACGATCCTCAATAAACGCCGTAATCTGGGGACCATATGAGGAGACTCCAAGGTCCTTGAACCAATACTTGAAAGTCTTGTGCTGTTTCAGCCAGATGAAGCCTGTGGTCCGGTTGAACCCGACCTCGACGAGGTTGCTCAAAGGCATCAACCCTTTAGGCAGATGGAAGTGGTCGAGGAGCTCATGCGTTTTTTGCTTGCAAAGAGCCGCTCCATGGTAGATCTCAGCCCCTTCTCGGTGACTTGCTATTTGCTTTGATGCCATGTTCGTTGCTTGCTTCCTTGTGAGAATGCAAATTGTAACGATCAAAGTGTCCTTATTTAGGAACTTTTGCCTTTTGGAGGGAAAGTGGTAGAATTTAAAACGGTGTAGTTTTGTGTTTATTTTTATTTTTTTAATAATTTCTTTATTTGAAGAATTTTTTTTTTTTTTTATATATTTTAAAGTTTGTTTGTAAAGATTTGCACATTTCTTAGATATATTTTTCATTGTTTATATAGTATTATTATAAACAACAAATGAAATGCATGTTATTATATTGAAATTAAAAACATTTATTTATGCACTCATTAATTAATTATATTCTGATACTAAAATAAAAAAAGATTTATTGGTGGAAATGATATTTTATTTTTATATAAAGAAAAAAATTATTTTCAAGCCTTTAATTTAACAATTAAAAATATTTGAAAAGATATCGAATATTTAATTTCGAATTAAATTTTGTTTTATTTATACTAAAATTTTATCCTTTTAATATAATAATAAAAAAAAGGGACACAGCATTAATTATAGTCTAAGCTTGCCAATTATTTGCGTGAGGGATATTGTTGGATTACGGAGAAAATTAAACAAAAGATATCAGTTGTTTGTTTATGTTATTTATATGTATATTTCACTATATTAAAAGAATTTTTAAATGTAAGTTTTAGTATTTTTTATAAGATTAACGTAGTAAAATATAATTATTGAAGTGATTTTATTATTAAGATACTTTTTTTATTTGTAAAATTATTTTATTTGGTTAATAATTATTAATTTATAAAAATTAAAAATTATCATGTTTAATATTATTAAAAATAAACTATTATTATTTTTTTATTTGTTTACGACTAATCGTTCTTTCATCTTCCATTTTTCTTTACTCTAAAAAAAATCATAACAAACAATCATTTCATTCTATTAAATTTTAGTTTCCAAAAACTTTCTGTTTCGAATTAAAATAATTAAATATTGAAGATTGCAAAAAGAATTAACGTTACTTTGACAATGATATTGAAAATTCGTCTCCGAAAATAAAATATCGTTAACAAAAATTTGTTTACATGATTAAATAAATGAGTTAACCTTTTATTTCAGTCTTCTTTAATTCTCTTCTTTTTCTTCTTCTTGAATAAAAAATAAATAAACAAATTCTGTGAGAATTGAACAATTTTTTTTTAATTATTTATTGTAGCTTGTCTTTTGAGTAAGTAAAAAATAAATTTTAAATCAATTTGGGTAAAACCCACTGTTAAGATGACTCGTTGAAGCGCTTAGAACTGAATGAAAATGAGATTCTGACCTGCAAACAAAATGTTTTTTCAGCTTCCGAAGAAAAAATGAAATATGGAAAGAGCTATGAGTTTTGATATTGAAAAGGCCAGTGGCCGCTGAGTTTTTTAATCAATCAAGCATGGCCCAATCTTTTTTTACATTAATTGTTTAATTAAGTTGCCGGAACCAAATTTGAAAAAAAAAAAAAAAGGGTTGTGGGAAGCAAGCATAAATCCAAAGGAAAATATGAAAAATTTATGAGTAGGCCTTTCTGGTTGATGTTTGAAAGAAGAGAAATTGAAAAAATCGCAATAAAAATTTTTAAAATTCAAATATCACATTAAATACTTTTAAATAATTTTAAATAAGTACTAGCAACTATAAATGCATCCGTAGAAGAACTTCAAGTCGTATGTGGAGAAGAACTTTTCATGATTGAAATGATTTTCCATGCAAGCTTTTCATCTCTCAATGACCAATGGCAACACAAGAACACTGATTCAGAATCATTGTGAACACTATGGGATAATCTATGAGGGCAACTGTTCTTCGAACAAATGGACACGCGGAATGATTCTACTTGAAGCTGTTCCCCCAAATCTAGGATGTTTGCATCAGAAAGTTCGTTTGATAGTTTCATTGATAATTGATTAATCAAAGTGCATTTGTCAAGATCACAGAGCAGAGTATCTGCAGATGGGAGTTCTTCGGTTCTGGTCTTCTGCAACCTTTCAGTATGCATTGGGAAACAATAAGCAAACTGAACCTCATGCTTTTTGTCTCCCAACATGAGCAGAAGCTCATCCTGGTGAATAACCTTTGCCTTTTTCCCTTTTTCCACTACTAGGATACCTTCAGCGACTCTTTCATCACTTACCTGCAGCCCTGAAGCGGCTTTTGAGTATTTTGAATCCAAATAAGATTTATCTACGGAACTATATGTTGAGAACTTGAAGTTTGGATTCAAGCAACTTCGGATAAATGTTTCAGAAGCATCTGCTTTCACATAGTGTGTTGAAGGAACGGTCACTGTTTCATTGTTAGCAGGACAGTAACACGGGATTCCGAGTTCAGACTGAATCCTTTCTTTAAGAGTAGCCATTTTAGGCTTCTCTCCATGTACAAGTATAGCATGCTTAGGGGAGAGAAACTTAACAAGATCCATAATTCCTTTGGCATCTGTATGAGGACTGAAAGATAGCTGATGAATCTGCAATACAAAATACATGCTCAGGGGTATTATAAAGCAGAATTTATTCGATGTAAATGTAGTTTGTCATTAAGATAAGCTAAATTTAAATGTAAGTTGAACCAATATGTTATCCTCCAATGAACAATCAGATACAACCATCATAAACTTGATGCAGATGATATCAATAAACTTTGTGCAACCAAAACTAGAATATTACAATTACCAATCAGTGCCACCAATCTGTCTTAATGGATAAGAGAAAACCACATAGTCTTCAAGCCATTTGTAGATTTATGAAATCAAAGACTACTCATGTTTTTAAACAGTTAATCAGTTCGAAATATCGCCATAAAACAAGACATTCAAGAAAATAGGCAGTTCCCTTAACAGCATTTGTAAATGCAGATGACAGCTTTGTACGGTAATTTGGCATCAAATTAGCTGGTTCCCTGACAGGGGCCTAAATCACTCAAAAGTTCTACTCATATATATCCATATACATATTATTCACTTAATTAGGTCATAAGAAAAGTTTTATGCTCAGCTGCTTGGGAAAAGACTCCTTTTTGTTCACTTGCTGCTCTTGTTCTGTTTTGGTAACTATTTAGTTGAAGAGTTGCAAAAGGTAAAAAGGGAAGGAATCCCAAAACAAAGTTCAAATACATATAAATTTTTTCTTTTTTTAATCAACGGAGGGTCTGAATTATATAATGCTAAGTCAATTATATTTCAAAAACAGAAACTTCTTCAGAATCAAAACTTGAATGCAGTAAATCCCGGAAATCAAATAAGCTGGGAAAAGATGATATAAAAAGTCCATAAGGTAAAAAAAAAAAAAAAAAGAGAAAAATTTTAAGTTTTAGGGGATGAGCATCAACCTGGCACCGCACATCAATTTGGGTGTCCTTGTCCAAATCAATTTTGGTGGGTTTACCTGACATTAACTTATGTCCTATTGTTCCAGCCACACAATACCTACAAATGGAGAAAAATGAGATAATAGAAATTCAAACAAAAACATAATTCTAATATGCATAATGCCTCAGTAAGGAGCACCATGTGCATTCAAACATGGGTGGTAGACCAATATGAACAACCAAAGAGGCAAAACATTCTTTAATTATTATTCTTGTTAAATGAATTCCAGTAGTCAAATATGATATTCAAACTATTAATGCTTCACAAAAGGGATGAAAATAATTCTTATTCCGGTATACATTTAATAACATACAGATGAGTGAAATCAAAATTATAAAAAAGCTACGATCCTAGGTTTTTAATCTGCAGCAAATTATGCGTGTCTATGAGTACTATAAATTCCAGAAATCCTATGAACGAAACAATAATGCAACTAACAAAGTCATTGGTTGCTTTTAATTATAAAAGTTTTGCAAGATTAGCAGGCATCATATCAAATAGTAGCAATAAAACCAGTGATTCTGAAAGAGTTACTGTGGCATATATGTAAGATAATTTTTTCTTATGTTTCAACTCATAAACGTACGAGTAGCAAGCATTTATTTATATGCTTGATATCATGTAACAAGGTTCATACCCAGGCAATGTGACAAGATTCATTTCAGAAGGCGCCCATTGCATAAAAACTTCAAGTGAAAACCCACCAACAATCATACCAGGTGTTGCAAAGAGAACACAAGGTCCAGGAGCATTTATCAAAGAACGGTCAAAATTTCGAACTGCAACCATACAAGTGCAGAAGAGTAGCAGATGAAATATTATTATAGAAGAGATTTTTCCCCCTAATATGTTCATGCAAGTTGCTAAGCTGCTTCATTCTTCAGTGGGAAATTATAACATTAAAACAATTAAATATGATAAAATGTGTTACCAAAGAATTAGCTCAAGCAACTATCACTTTCCCTGATTTATGCTAGTCTTCAATACATCTAAGGAACTTTTAACATCGCCAGCTTCTCTGATTTTTCCTCTTCAATTTAAGTATTTTGAAAGGGAAACAAACTGCTCATTCCAATTAAGATTTTGCTGTCTTGAAAACTAACAGCATTATTGACCTCTTTCTTTTATTTTCTCCTCCTTGACAAAGAAATGGGAGAAGGAAACAATTGGTTTGAAGAAGTTTAGTTTACTTTAGACACGGTACTATGACAGAAACTAAACAAAATAGGTTGAAATGTCTTCAATAATATTCCAACTATTCCAATAATTAGCTTTCTTTACACACAATAGTTATCCGAATATGCAGGATAGAAAGACTATGAATTAAAATATTTTTAGACTATGAATTTTTACTTTGTTATACTTTATGTTATTTCAACGTTTGATAGCTTTTAGACTATGAATTGTTGAGCTGAATATTGAGTAATGAGATTTCCCTCACTCTTGGTTCTCTCTAGTTTTTCTCTTTCTTTTAATTCTCTTTTCGCCCCTAATTTCCTCTACTTCTCCTTAGTACTACTATTTCTTCCCTTCTCCTCATATCTATGTTTTGTCCCCAATTGTCTCCCCTTTCCACATCAATTACCCTGCTGTAGATAGAGACTGTCTAAAAAAAACCTTAGCAATGGCAGGAATAAGGAAATAAGTAGCTGCTGCAGTCATTAATCATTATTTCAGAAAGCATAGTACCATTTTTAAAATCAAATGCATTACGCGT